ACACACACGTGAGAAGAGCTCGTACCTGATGGTGACGTCAGTCTCCAGTCCTTCCCCTCCAGCTTCCACTGCCTTCTCAAACGACATCACGGTATTTTCTGGAGCAAGCTTCACACACAAGAAGAGGAAGAACAATCTCAATCCCAGTCTGATGAATAACGATGCACGTTGAAAATATGGACATACAACACACTGTACGTGCACGCTGATAAAATATTACGATCATAACCAACAGAAAAAATGTCCGAGAGCAGAAAGAGGAGGAAAAACAGAATTCCAGTCTCACCATCGGAGCTCCTCTGTGTCCGATTAGTTTTGGAGCTGGTCCCAGTGTTCCTGCCTCTTTGATGCAGGGCGAGTACATTCCCAGAGGAACCAGGTAGAGACAGAACAGCACCGACAGGTACAGACCCAGGACGGCCACCTGACGCACTGCGGAAACACAGAACAACACAAAGACGCTGGTATTACACAACACTGACTGTAAACACTTACTAAACCTTGTGAGGGAAACAAACAGAGTTTAGGTCCTGAAGCACAGATCCAGTGATTTAGTGACAATCTGTTTATTGTCATTATTTGTACCAGTTCAACACAGATATTTAGTTTTTTTTTTTTATATCAGTAGATCATAATCTGCAGTAGACCTACAACACACCAACTAATCCAAAAACCAGCAGATCGGAGCCTCTTCATGAGCCAGTTAAGAGTTACAGGACTGACCCAGGGGAGATATCGGAACTTAATCGGTTTAATATACAGTAAATCTTTCCTGATAGGATCAACATGGTGGGCTGGTGCTGAACTGTATCCATCTGGGAAACAGGCGGAACAACGAGCGTCTGGTTAGAGAGTTAATCCACCTGAACCAAACCAGGACTTTCACATTAGACAGAGTTACTGGTTTTATCAAGTGTTAAAACATGAAACTTTAAAGAACGAGACGCCTCATGTCTGATCAGTGCAACAGTTATTGGAATAAATGAATAAATGTTCTTATTGATTCAACCTGCTGCAGGTCAACAGATCATTGAGAGCAAGAGAGAAGTTGTGCTTGGTCTGAAGTATCTGCACACGCTCTTTATCACTGTTACCACTCGGAGAGAAAAGCTCAGCACAGACCACAGACTGTAAATGAAGATGGATGACGTGTCACCACTTCCTCCCACTGTCTTCAAATGATTCAAACACTGCCCTCTTGTACTGACGATGTTATTTGGAGTCTGGTTCTAGTTTCTGTTTGACCAATCGTGTTTGAGCAGCCTTTAGTTGTCTGCTGGTCCACGTGGAGAGAAAAAGAGACGGAACACATTGAGCAAAATAACTGGACTGTGGACTTTTTAGTTTGGCCCATGTCCCATCCACTAACATGGCTGAGGTGGGGTTTCTAAGCACTATTCCCCTCACACATCTTAACTAAGTGCATTGATGAAATGAAACTAAACATGCAGCCCAGCGTTCATCTGATTACAGACGAACAGAGGAGTTTTATTACTTCCTATTCTACTCTCTCTCCCCTCCCTCCGACACGAAAGACCCTCGACATGACTCAGCATTACCCGCTGAATCACCACGGCAACCAGGGACAGTACCCATAGAGACCAAGAAAGAAGAGAGATGCAGAGACACAGAGGTCAAAGCCATTCAGTGGAGAGGACAGGGCAGACAGACACAAAGCCAAGAAAGACAGTGAGCAGAAGACGAGAAAAAGAAAAAAGAAAAAGACAGCAGCAGCGAGAAAAGAGGTCAGAATGATCCAGAGAGCAAAGAAAGAACAGGAGGAGTGACGAGGAGAGGAAGAGGAGACAGGAAGCACCAGAGAGACGAAGAGAGGAAGAGGAGACAGGAAGCACTGGAGAGATGAAGAGAGGAAGAGGAGACAGGAA